AAAAAGAATATGCAGAAAAAGTACAAAAATAAACTAGACAATGCACGAGACGTGCGGTTTAATTGACCGTTTTGTGCAAGAAAACTTCTAAATTTTTAGCGTTTATTTTCAAGAAGTAGGTCAGTCATTTATAAAAAATGATAAAAAAATTTTTGAATTCTTCGGCGTTTTATTTATTTATACTGGTAAGATCATCGAGATTTCTCAGATGAACTCACCTTAGCTGATGAATCAGCTGAGCCGGTGACCAAGAATGAATCATCACTAGCCAAAATACTACAAGTGATTTTGTGGGTATGAGGAGTCAGCACTTGAAGACAATCGCCCTAAAAAATCATTTTTTGAAAAACAGCCCAGTATGTGTCAGTGGAATCCAATTTTTTCAAGTTCAGAAACCTGATTTTTAAAAAACGCAACTTTACATATATACGACTTCCAGCGGTGAATTTTTGTGGATCGAATTGCGCTACCGTAATTTTAGGCAACGTTTTGCAAGCATTTAAGAGCTCAGAAACATTGGAAACATCCTTGCTAACATTCCTAGGAAAGTCTTGGGAGAAGAGATTAAGGTCTCAATAAATTTTCTGAGCAGATGTCATGGAATCAATTTTCAAGAAAGTGTTCCGACAAATTTATCGAAGCAGTAAATAACTTTGCTCACATTCATAAGGCTCCATATCCGAACTGTCTTGTCCACCGAGGTGCTGACGAAGAATGAACCGCTTGTACTACTACACAACGATGTTACATTTGCAGTATGCCCTAAAATCTTCATGACATTTGAAAATGGAAGAATCGGGGGAAAAAACTACCATTGAAAGTTGTCATAAGAGACTGAGCTGCAATATGGTACATATAGATCACACCAACAGCTGACTGATTGCCAGAAATAAGAACATGCTGATGGTTGAAGGTCGGAGCGAGCACTGTTTGGCCGGGTTTCCAATCCTTTAAAATTCTTTTAAAAGTAATCCCCAAAGGGGAACTTGTACTAACCTTGATGGTAAAAGTCCTGCATTTTTTCATTATTGGTGGAGCTATCCAGCATGATAATGGAACCAGCAATGGTTGCCGAGTATAGTTGTCTACCCAGGTCATTGCCTGCTCTACCAGAGTGTTCAGGAAATGACTGTTCTCAGCTAAAAGTACCAAATTAGGCTCTAAGCATGAATAAAAGTGCTACAGTACCTCTGGTATACCGTAGCCTGCCAATAACTTCTGCACCAAGTTGTTCATGGTCTCGTAAAACCGTTGGTATGGCTGGGATCAGCACTTGTTCGCAGAGCACTAAATACTTTCTGATAAAAAATAATTCAAAAATCGTCGAAAACTATAATGAGAATAAGAAAATTGGAAAAAAACTGAGAAAAGAGCTTTGAATGATTATTAATGTGATAGGGAGAGAGCATATCAAAAAAAATAGGGGGAAAAATGTTTGACGTCTTTTCCAGATTTTTTAGGCGTATCTGCTCATTAAAGAGCGATATTTTTCTCATTTAAGTTAACAGGGCCCTTGCCTTTTGCATTCAAGGAATAAGCAGACGTTCGAGACAAAAATAAAAATAATTTTTTCTAAGATCCCGTTTCTTTTCTTGTCTTGTAACGTTTTTTTACTTTCTAAGCTCTCCGGAAAGGAAACCTCAGTGAAGAGGGAATGGCCTGGAATGTTTTGTTCAAAAAAATTCTTTTTAGCAAAATGTAAAACTGTCCTATTA